ATAACATTAACATGGTAAAATTATCTATACAATAGAAAACAGAATTATAAAGAGGAAACATTAGGCTTCTTGATGCATTAATTTCACTTGCATAGGAACACTTGTTTGCGAGATATTGCTCCTAAAAGAAAGAAAATCAAGGGTAAATTGTGACAAAAAATTTCAACGAGCCTCTGTCAGTCTAGCAGCAATACAAATGAATGGAGGTTGGGCTACGCCCAAGCTTCCGTTTCCAATCCCTTTCATTTACTCTATTATCTATGCTCATACGTCATTGCGTGACCACACCCACAACCGGAAGTGATTTAACAAAATGGCTGTAAGGCAGAAAATTGCAACTTTTGACTCAAGATTTAATATGGAAATGGTACTTTTCTTAATTTTAGCTATTATTTCTATGATTTTTTCTTTATTTCCAATTTATTTCAGGGAAAAAAATTTTGGGGTTTAGTTACCCTTTAAGTAAATGAAGTACAATGTAGGCTGAGTGCATATATACTGTATGTAGATCTAGTCACAAATTAGTGAAAAATACCAAGTTACATGTACAATGTACTAAATGTTAGTAAATGTAAGTACATGTACATGTATGTGATTAATATTTGTCAAATATTAGTTATTACATGTAGTCAGTAAGCAGTTGATTGTGTTTTTAGTCTCGTTCAAATCGAAAAGCCAAAACTGAGAAGTCGTCTGACAATTTCAAAAATGAGGATGCTGACGACAAGCTCCAGAAGTCATTGACTGATTCTAAACCAGCCGTTGCTCCTAAACCATCCTCTATCACCAGTTCCTCTGCAACAGGTTCATCTACTTCTATAGTAACTGCGGGTTTCCTAAAGCCTACTCCACCTCAGAAGAAATCATTCTTTAAATTCAAACCTACTCAAAGTGTCAAACCTGTACTTGCTACAAAGGAAACGACTGGCCCAGAACCAACTTCTACTACAAAAACAGAATCTCCCAGTACTAATGACACTATAATACCAACTACTACTGAAGTCATAGCCACTTATGTTAAAACCACACCCACTAGCACTGAAGCCATGCCTACCAGCACTGAAGCTCCACCCACTGGTACTAAAGCTACTCAAAATAAGTCCCCTAGTAGAGAGAGATCTGTCACTACAGCAACCAATAAACCATCAAGATCTGTGAAGCCACATACTCTATCCTCCCCTCCTCCTCCTCCTCCTCAAAATACTAATAACGGCTCATTTTCTGAATCACAAGATTCTCTATTTGCTCAGTTGACACGTAAAACCAAACAAAGTGATTATTACGGACTGTTAGGGGTCCTACCCACAGCAGATCAAGAGGAACTCTCTCGGGCTAGACGAGAAATAACTGTCAAGCTTCATCCTGATTATTTTACTAATGACCCAATTAAACAAGAAAAGTAAATAAAAATAATAATATAATAATGTTTGTGTTGTCCTCAGTTTCCATGTTGCATGTATGTTTTAATATTCCATAATTACATTGTTTGAGCAAATTGTGCACAATATCTTAAACCAGGAAGCCTTTATCATCAGTATGATATATGATTATCTATATAGCTGATGAGAACCTTTAAGATGTAAAATGTATTATTCGCTCAATTGTATGTAATATATCATGGGTTACAATATATTATAGGTTCATAATTTTTTATTTTTTGTTTCGTTCAGGGCACAGGAAAGGTTGATAATCATTAATCAAGCTTACAGTGATGTGTTGAGTAATAAAACTAACAGGGAACTGTATGATCAGCTAGTCAGATATAGAGGGTAGGATTATAATATTTACAGTATGTTTGTTAGACGTTTATTTTTATTCATGTACATGCTCAAGTTTTAAAAACATTATTTGTATATAATTTTTCTATATTTATTTTCAATGTGATGACTGATAATTAATTAATTATTGATGATGCATGTACTTTCCATGCCAAACAATCATACTATGTACATTGTATTGTACTATTTCAATTAAAATTTGTATCTTTTGACAGAAATATCACAGGATTTTAGAGCAAACTGGCCCCTCATTGGATACAGCAAAAATGAAGTTGTCATCTCTACGCTCTAGCATGAAGAAAGCAAGGTTCCCTATGGCTTTATTGGAGGAATTACAACTAGCAATAAGATTAATAAAAGATAAGCAATTACAATTAGGAGCAACTCTTAACTAATATTGTCCATGCATGTGTGTGTAGCTGTATCATTGTGTGATTATTATTATTATTATATTATATTGATCAATGAAGATTTTGAGGATGTTTTGGTTTGTTCATTATTATTGAATTATAATTATATTGTATAAAACTA